GACGACGACCGATGACGACGACGACGACGACGACGGACGACGACAACGACGGACGACGACGACGACCACCACGACGACGAACGACGACATCGACCGTCGACCGACGACGATGACCGACGATGATGATGACGACGATGACGGACGATTACAACGATGGACGTCTCCGACGACGACGACGGCGAACGACGACGACGACGACGACGACGCCGAAAACGGCGACGACGACGACGACGATCGACGGACGACGATCGACAAGGATGACGACGGACGACGACGAGGGACGACGACCGACGAAAGCGACAACGGACCACAGAGACAACGACGACGACGACGACGACGACGACGACGACCACGTCGACGTCGAAGACGACGAAGGACCACGACGACGACGGATGACGGACGACGAGCGACAGATGGCGAACGACGACCGACGACCGACTGACGACGGCGACGACGACGACGACGACGACAACGAACGACGATGACGACGACGACGGCAACGACGACGTTTCCGACGACGACGACGACGACGACGACGAGGACACCGGCCGACGGACGACCCACGACGACGACGATATTGATCACGACGACGACGAACGACGACGACGACGACGAAGACCACAGCCGACGACGTCGACCGACCACCGACGACGACGATGACGACGACGACGACAGCCGACGACGATCGACGTAACGACGACGATGACGACGACGTCGACGACGGTCGACGATGGACGACGACGACGACGACGACAACGACGACGTTGTCGCGCCCTGGGCGGGAGGCCGAGACTACGGGCCAGTTCGGAAACCAGGACCAGGACGGCGCGCTCCGCCGCGGCCCCAGCGCCATCACGCCGCCGTCGTCTTCGCGCCAGCCCGATCATTGCGTCGCCGACATCGTCGTTGTCGTCGGCCTTGTCGTCGTCGTCGTCGTCGTCGTAATCGTCGTCGTCATCGTCGTCCTAGTCGTCATGGTCGTGGTCGTCGTCGTCGTCGTCGTGGTCGTCGTCGTCGTTCCCGACGTCGTCGGCCTCGTCGCCGTCGTTCTCCTCCTCCTTTTCCTCCTCCTCCTCCTCCTCCTCCTCCCCCTCCTCCTTCCCCTTCTCCTCATCCTCATCCTCCTCCTGCTCCTCCTCATCATCATCCCCCTCATCTTCTCCCCTCTTCCTGCTTTGTGTCCTCCCCCTTCCTCCTCCTCCTCCTCCTCCTCCTCCTCCTCCTCCTCCTCTTCCTCCTTCAATATTCCCGCTTCTCCGCATTTGTTCATCCATCCTCCCTCCTCGTCCCCCTCCATCCCCCTCCTTCTCCTCCTCTACCCCCCCACTCCTCCTCATCCCCCTCCTCCTCCATTATTTTCATCATCATCAACATCAGCATCATCATCAGCAGCATCATCAGCAGCACAATCAGTATCATCATTATCCTCATCAGCATCATCATCAACAGCAGCATCATCGTCGTCGTCGGCATCGCCATCATAGTCGTAATCATAAGCATAGTACGCATCATCTGCATCATCATAACAATTATCATCAACAGCAGCAGCATCTGCTTCAGCATCATCATAATCATACGCATCATCAGCAGCATAGTCATCCTGTTCATCATCGTCATCCTCATCTTCATCACCATCCGCATCATCTTCATCACCAGTTGCGTCCTCGTAACTATATTGCCCTTCTTGTATTATTCTTGGAGCGCCCACAGGGGGGCGTCGTCCCCTAATTCCAGAGAGATGCCCACCAATGAACCGAACTAGATGGCCCCCAGATCGTCATCCGTCCTCCATTCTTATGCATCCGCCGCCTGATCCACCTCCGCCAGCTGGTGAGGCACGCTCGCGCGGCGCACTCGGCCGCCGCCCTCGCCAAGTGCTGGACTTGGAAGAGCTTGTGCCTCAGGCGGTGCATCGGCTTCTCCTCGTCATCCCCATCCCTCCACCTCCCTGCTCCATCGTCAGTCCTCCTCCCTTCTCCCCTCGATCCTTCCCCCTCCATCTTCCCCCAGCCTCTTCCACCCTCCTCGCCCCCCTCTCCCCCTGAGATCCGACGTCGCGAAAAACCACGACCAGAGCCCCAGGACCTGCCGTTCTGCGACATGCCTCGAGAGGGGTCGATCCACGAGGGCCCCGGCGCGCGAGGCCGGGCGGAAGCGCCAGGCGTGAAAGCATGCGATGCTCGGAGTTCAGGGTCAGCCTTGCTCGTCCATGCCCCCCCCCTCCCTCGCTCCCCACCCCCTTCCTCCTCCTCCTCCTCCTCCTCCTCCTCCTCCTCCTTCTCCTCCTCCTCCTCCTCCTCCTCCTCCTCCTCCGCCTCCTCCTCCTCCTCCTCCTCCTCCTCCTCCTCCACTTCCTCCTCCTCCTCCTCCTCCTCCTCCTCCTCCTCCTCCTCCTCCTCCTCTCCTCCTCCTCCTCCTCCTCCCCTCCTCCTCCTCCTCCTCCTCCTCCTCCTCCTCCTCTCCTCTCCTCCTCCTCCTCCTCCTCCTCCTCCTCCTCCTCCTCCTCCTCCTCCTCCTCCTCCTCCTCCTCCTCCTCCTCCTCCTCCTCCTCCTCCTCCTCCTCCTCCTCCTCCTCCTACTCCTCCTCCTCCTCCTCCTCCTCCTCCTCCTCCTCCTCCTCCTCCCCTCCTCCTCCTCCTCCTCCTCCTCCTCCTCCTCCTCCTCCTCCTCCTCCTCCTCCTCCTCCTCCTCCTCCTCCTCCTCCCTCCTCCTCCTCCTCCTCCTCCTCCTCCTCCTCCTCTCCTCCTCCTCCTCCTCCTCCTCCTCCTCCTCCTCCTCCTCTCCTCCTCCTCCTCCTCTCCTCCTCCTCCTCCTCCTCCTCCTCCTCCTCCTCCTCCTCCTCCCTCCCCGCAGTACAACTTCGGCCACGTCGTGCCCGGCTTCGGCGCCACGGCGCAGCAGGGCGGCGCCCACGGTTTCGGCGCGGGCGGCCCCATGGAGTCAATGGCTCCAAGCCGCGCCCCGTCGCCCGTGGGCAGGCCGACGCTGCTCGCGCGCCGCCTTCTTTCGGCAGGGGGGAAGCTCGGAGGAGGAAAATGTACCCATACCTTTACCCTTCGCCCGTTTTCCCCCTTTATGGGGCCTTCTGGGAGGCCCTCGTCGCCACCGCTGGATTCGCCTCGAAATCCTCAGAACGCACCCCGGGAGAGGCCCAGGGAGTAGCGATACCAGTATTTTTTGGTTTCCCTAGTTCTCGCCCCGCCCTCTTTCGACAGGGGGGAGGAAGCGGGCTCTGGAAGGCCGAGGAGGGACGAGGGTCAGGCGATCGCAAACATGGATCAAGGGGGCGTGGATTAGCGACGCGTCCCGTTTCCATAGGGGAATCCCGGATGTCCGCCGCCGAACGAGGCACAAACCAGCCGCATTTTGGGGAGGGCACCTCCCCCGATCCATAGATTTGGCGACCGCGGCGACCGCGCGCCAAATCCAGGGATCGCTAATCCATGTTTGCGCGCCCCCGAACAGGGGACGACGATGGATGGGTGGAGGGATGGGAGGAGTTGTCAACCCGGGATGATGAGGCATGGATGTATGAGGACGGAGGGATGGGAGGGATGAGGATGGAGGGATTGGGATGGAGGGATGGATGGACGGGGGGATGCAAGACCGATCGGGGAAGCGTAAGATTCAGGGTCGCCAGAACTCGTGTTCCCCGACGCTTTTTCACGAGCCTATCCTGGATGTTGGCGGTCCAGTCCAGTGTTCGTGGGATGTCAACAGCGGGAGCTCGCGCCAAATTTAAGATTCGGTCTCGCCATTTTGTTGACGGCCCCGTCAGGCCAACTCGAGTCCTCCAAATTCAATCGAGGAGGAACGAGGGATGACGAGGGATGGATGGAGGGATCGGAGGATTTGTCGACCCGAGCGTTGCAAAGGAGGAGCGGTTCAAAAGCATAGTCGATATGTGGGTGTGGTAGTGGATCTTCGTCGTCGTCGTCCCGCTCATCGTCCTTATTCTTGTCATGGTCGCCGTCACTGCCGCGCACGCTGCGATTGAGCATTGTCTTCGGCAGACCCGACTCGCCCGCCCGAGTAAGTACCCCAGCGAAGCATCCGAATAGCAGCCAAGGTAAAGAAGAGGCGGGTCGAGGAGTAGGAGGTCGGCTATAGGGGACAGGAGTGAGAGCACAGCCATGTGCACCGTAGTGTGTTTCACAAACCATCCTGTGGTGTTGGCCCGCGTTTTGAAGAGACAGCGCCCCACGTTCTCATTCATCCTCCCGCTGCCCCTCCTCCCACCCATCCCTCCTCCCATCCCTGCCTCTGACCTCCGCACCAGTCAACTATGTCGGCATACCCCTCACACGTTGCGCTTCGTGGCCCCATGGGGAGCTCCACCGAAGGCCACAGTGGCTGCACTCGCACGGCACCACCGCACCCGTTTCGGCACACTCATCACAAGTTTCGTGGCCCCGCAAAAAGCTCCACCGAGGGCCCCAGTGGCTGCGTTCGCATGGCACATCGCACCCAGTTCGGCACACGCCTCACCCGTTTCGTGGCCTCATCGGGAGCTCCACCGAAGACCACAGTGGCTGCGCTCGCATTGCACCACCGCACCCGTTTCAGCACACACACACACACACACACACACACACACACACACCATGCGTTTCTTGGCCCCGTAAGGAGCGGCACCGAAGGTCCCAGTGGCTGCGTTCGCATGGCACACCGCACCCAGTTCGGCACACGCCTCACCCGTTTCGTGGCCCCATCGGGAGCTCCACCGAAGGCCCCAGTGGTTGCGCTCGCATGACACTACCATTCCCTATTCGGCGCACCCTTCGCGCGTGTCGTGGCCTCATGGGGAGCTCCACCGAGGGCCCCAGTGGCTGCGGTCGTATGGCACCATCGCACCCACTCAGGCACACCCCTCACACTTTTCGTGGCCTCATGGGGAGCTCCACCGAGGGCCCCAGTGGCTGCGCTCGCATGGCACCACCGCACCCATGTCGGTGCACCCCTCACACGTTTCGTGGCCACGTAGGGAGCGCCACCGAGGGCCCAAGTGGCTGCGCTCGCATGGGCACCACCGCGCCCATTTCGGCACACTCCTCACACGTGTCCAGCGAAGGCCTCAGTGGCAGCGCCCGCATGACAGTGGCACACCCTTCACACGCTTCGTGGCCCAATGGGGAGCTCCACCGAAGGCCCCAGTGGCAGCGCCCGTCCGGTACCACCACAACCACTTCGGCACACCCCTCGCACGTTTCGTGGCCCTGTGGGGAGCTCCGCCGCAGCCCCCAGGGCAGCGCCTGCATGGCACCACCGCGCCCATTTTTGCACACCCATCACTCGTTTCGTGGCTCCAGAGGGAGCTCCACCGAAAGCGGTCGGCACCCACAACGCCGCATTCCCAGCTGCACATTGGTTGGGCCTTTCGCCCAGATAATTTATAAAAAGGGCTGCGTCCGTCCGTACCAAACATTTCGCCGGCATTGGGGCGAGAGCACGGCTCTTGGTTGCGAGGAAGTCTCAGGCGAAGCGGCTGCCGGACCAAACGATCTCGGGCGGCGTTCCCGGGTTCCCCTTCCCCCAATGTTGAACTCTTCTGTGATCTTTGAACTGTATGAGAACCCTCCAGCGAAACGTTACTAGGGAATTGGAAGATGCGCTTGTCGTTCGCAGGGGGAGGAGGAAAGCGAGACGAAGAGCGGCGAGAGCGAGGAGGGGGAGGAGGAGGAGGAGGAGGAGGAGGAGGAGGAGGAGGAGGAGGAGGAAGGGAGGAAGGAGGGAGCATGGATGAGGAGGAGGAGGAAGAGGAGGAGACCAATAAGGAAGCCAAGCGCGTGATCCGGTGCCCCGCCTGGCACGTTCCGAATGCATCTGGGGGCGACCGAAGCCCATGAAATCGTATGGAGCTACTTCTCTCTGCACGTTGCGCGCCCAGCGCTGCTCCTTGGGCTCTTCGCCTTATCATGTGCTCGCGCCGACTGCCGCCTCTTCGACTGCTCGAGTTCCCATTACATCAGCAACATGTATGACTCTTCTACTTGGATGCTTGCTGCGGAGAGTGGGGACCTTCACAGAATGCTCATGCCCCAGTTTGGCAACATACTGCGTGGGGCGTTCCTCTTTGAAACGGTCCTCCCCGAAGTGAAGAGAAATATTTGCAGGGACCTAGGAGAAGGGGACGTGGGACGGGACGACGTATTGCCGCATCGTTGAAGCATCTGAGGTTTTCGTTGGTTTCGTTATCCCCCCTGTCTTTCTCCTCCCTCCCCCTCCTGCCGCTTCCTGCTTCCCTTCCTGGAGGAGCCACTGCATGCCAGGCATATATGTTGGTCTACGAGACTTTGTCCGATGGCCCCGCCGCGGCCACGCTTTGGCCCTGGCGCGCCAGGGAAAAGCCGTCGCGGGCAGGATCGAGGGGGAGTTGTGCGGACGTTGTGTGCGGGCCTGAGTCGCAGGCGTGGGTAGGCTCCCCGCGACCTCCGGAGGCCTCTGGGGACCTCCGCAGGGTTTCGGAGGCCTCCAGATCTTCCAGTTCTCCCGAGGGCTGGAGGACGAGAAGAGCGGAGAATGAGGAGGAGCACAAAGAGGAGGAGGAAGAGGAGGAGAAGGAGGAGGAGAAGAAGAAGAAGGAAGACGCAGCGGAGTCTCTCTCCGAGAAGCTTCGCCCCAGGCCACGGCACGAGCGCATCCAGTGGGCGCTTCCGCGGCCCTTATTGTTTTGCTCACCCTCCGCCCAGTGCGCCCCTTCTCTGGGATGTTCCTTGTGCCGAGCGTCAGGGTCTAGATAGAAGTCTTCGCCTGGATGGTCGCATAGAGTCGGGCTTTGATCGCTTCTGATGGGCACTGCGATCTCAAGAAAAGACTGTCTGCAGGGAGCCGTGAGATGCACTGCCTTGCCCTGACATTGCTGCCTTAGCGTCTGTAGGACACCTCTTATGATGGCAGCTAGGCCTGCCACTCTGAGAGACACTCCCTCGGCCTAGTAGCGGAATCCTGCAGTCAAGCATACTCGATATGACCATCATCTCTTCCTCCTCCTCCTCCTCCTCCTCCTCCTCCTCCTCCTCCTCCTCCTCCTCCTCCTCCTCCTCCTCCTCCTCCTCCTCCTCCTCCTCCTCCTCCTCCTCCTCCTCCTCCTCCTGTCCCCCCACCTTTGGGCGCCTGCTCCTTCAGGGCCGCCCGGCAGTCTCCGCCGGCCTTGCGCCCCGTTCAGCGACTACAAAGAATATGGCTACGCCGGAGTGTGGTTTGCGATCGGCACCGTTGGGGCCTGGGGAGCGCGGCGTTGCCAACGTCGGGCCTCCACGGGGCGCGGCGGAGAGCTCTGCCGAGGTCCTCGCCCGCCTCCCGGGGTGCCCGCTGCAAACCACACCCTCTGCAAGCCAGACCCTTCGGAGTCGCTGCCCCGTGCACGCGGACTGGAGCGCCAGAGACGCTACCGCGCTCTCGCGACGCCCGCCGCCCCGCCGGCGCCTTGCCAGCGGAGGGAGGGGGTCTCGGCCGAGCTTCGGGCGCACGGCGCGCGGGGCGGACGACGACGATAACAGCGACGATAACGACGATGACGACGACGACGACGACGACGACGACGACGACGACGACGATCACGACGACGACGACGACGACGACGACGACGACGACGACGATCACGACGACGATCACGACGACGACAACGACAACGAGGACGATGCAGAGAGGGGCCCCTCCTCCCAGGGGCAACGTCAGGGGTTGATGCGGTCGGGAGCTTCTGCTTAGCGTGTCGCGGCGGCGGCCCTGGCGGCAAGCTGTGCCCTGCGAGTGGATAGCGCGTCGCTCCGCTCCACGGGGCGGGATGCTCGGAAAGACTCGGGACTCTGGCGCTCGGAGACGGCCGTGGATAGCGTGTCGCTCCGCAGCGTGGTGGGGCTAGAACCAGCGGCGCGGCACGCTACGCCAAAGTTCCTGACCGTAGGCTCAGGGGGGGACGCATCGACCCCCGATCGCCCATTCATCGCCGACAGGGGCCCCATGGCCCACCCCGCCCCGCCCAGAAGCATTCGGATTCGCTATCGGGGACCCATCGCCGATCTATTGGCGATGTATCGCCGATTCCAGGTCGACTGCTCCCCCCCAGAGCCGCTTCCCCCTTTTATCGTTTTGCCCTCATCCTCGCGTCGTGAAGGAATCACTCCAGAGCGGGGGTGGTCGTGTTGGGCCCCTTTGGGGCTCAGGGAAAGGAGGAAGAGGAGGAAAGGGGGAGTCCCAGACCTCTAGCGGATTGGGAACAAATGGATTCGTCAGTTCTGGCATCGCCAGGCCCTGGGACCGTCAAAAAGCAATTCAGGATGAAAAGCTGGCCTTGGGGAAACGGTCGGGACTCCTGGGGACCCACTATTCAAAAACGCCAGACGTCGGATCTGTGCGGAGGGGGCTTGCATCACTCCAGAAGCGCCTCTTCCTCCTGCTTGTCTCCCAGCGCGTTGCCCGCTGTTGCCGCGAGAGTACTGCGCAGTTCGCGGCCAAGCCACAAGAGGAGGGGAGGAAAGGGGGGCGCGGGTAGCGGAGTGGAAGGGAGGGTGGAAGGGGCAAGTTGGGCGCGCTCGCGCCACATCTGCCCGTCCCTCCCATCTCTTCCCATCGGGCTGATTTTCTCTCTCTCTATCCGCCAACGGGTGTCATAGCAGATCTGGAGCACCCGCAAGGACCCCATCGTGTTGCGCGCAGTCTGAGAAGGGGAGTTGTGTACGCTGGAGGAGGGGGTGGTGGACGAGCAGGAGGTCGAGGAGAAGCCCGAGGCAGGAGGAGACCGAGGAGCACAACTGCAGCAGCAGGAGCGCGAGGAGGAGCAGGAGGGCCAGAGGAGGGCGGGCGAGGGGACATGCACGGGGGCGACAACGACGAGTGATCGCTCGGAGCCATAGATGTGGGCCGCGCGGGGGCAAAAAAAAACGCCCTTCTGCACGACGGGGGCAAGAGCGCTGGCACAAGACGAGGCCAGCGCTGCAGCAGGAGCGCCATGTGTTGGAAGGGCCGGACTGGGAAGGGAATCGGAGAAGCAGTTCGGAACCACCCCGTGTGCAAACGCGCACACTGCGCTCCGAGGGGGGGCGCCCCGCTCTCGGACGTCACGGCGAGGGGGCCCCTCGGAAAAACAGGGCCAGGCGTTTTTCCTCGAGCCCGGCTTCCGGTGTGCCGATCGACCGTCAGCACTTTCTTCGAGGCGGACGGGCCCCGGGAGGGGTCCAGGAGCCGATTTTGAGCGGCTTCGGGAAGCGGAGGAGGCTGGGAGGGGATGGAGGGCGCAGGCTTTCCCTGACAGCGTTTCGACAGAGGGGTTTCATAGAAGTGCGAGGGGCCACAGAAGAGTCCCACGGGGAGGGCGGGGAGCCCGAGGACGTTCAGTCTGGCAGTTGGTGTGGCAGCCGTTTCGCTCGTGACCTCCTCACCATGTATTCAGGATCCGTGCTCTCGCCTCAATACCGGCTACATGTTTGGTCCAGATGGCCACGATCTTTGACAGCAGAAATCGCTACGGTGCACCTCCTGTCCATTATCCTTCTTCTCCTCTTCCTCCTTCCCCCCTGCTGCTTCTCCTGCCCCTCATTCTTCTCTACCTCTTTTTTCTCTTGCATCCTCCGCCCTCCTCTCTCCTCCTCCATTCCCCTCCTCATCACCCGTCCCCCCTCCTTCTTGCTCCCCCCTTTTCCTCGCTCCCTCTCCCTCCCCTCTGCTCTTCCTCATCGTAGTCCTCCTTCGTCCTCCTTCTCGTCGTCGTCTCCGTCCTCCTCCTTCCCGTGGTCCATCCTGTTGGCGCGGGCCTCCCTGGCTCCACCTTGCCCCACCCCAGTTGTCCCTTTCCTCCCCGTTCTCCCTTCCTCTGCCCTGCCCCGTCCAGCTGGCATGACCCCCCTGCCGCCCCCGGAAGTCGTGAGCAGGCCAAGGATCGTGCGGAGCCTTCGACCGCTCCACGAGGGGGGCGTCGGCGGATTACTTGGCGATAGGATCCTTGCTCCTCCTCACCCTTCTTCTCCTCGAGCACAGCTGCTCTCGGGGTGTTGCATGAAAAAAAGGCGCGCTGAAGCTTCCCTCCGTGTCGACGCGCCTATGCTCGTGCCCTCGGGATGTTGTCGCATGGCCGGGTCATCACTCGAGAGCAGTGTGAGACAGGGCGATGCCTTAGGATGTTCTTGTTTGTTGCTCTGGATTCCAGATAGATGCATGTTTGTTGCTCTGGGGCTTGGACCTGCTCTTTGGCCAGGATGAACCCCCAACGGCAACATGTCCCCCCAAAGAGTGCTTGCATTAAGAGGGTTCTTAATTGTGTTCCAAGGATATGGGCCCATCTTTCGAGAGTCCGGCATGTACCCGCCCCGCGGACGCCCCGTCGCAGCTTCGAGGGCGGACCGTCGCTGTTTGTGTTTCCGCAGGTTCGGTTTATGCTCGCCCCGTAGGCGCCTCGTCGCTGCCATGTGGACGGTCCGCATCCCCTAGTCGGCTTGGTTTTTTCTTTTTTTGCACAGCCACGACAATAGTAGAACTGATTTCCCAAATCCAGAAGGGTGCTGTTGTTTTCTTTGCACCTCCCCCCCCTCCCGCACAGGAACCTCTCCCACCGCCCCTCTCCTCCTCTCATCACCATCCCACAACCATCACTGTCGCCACCAGCCTCACCATCACCATCATCACTCACTCACTCACCCACTCGCCACCACACCATGGTCACCACCAGATGATGACCACCATCATCATCCCACACGCAGTCACGCACACTCACACGGTCACTCATCATCATCACCATCACCATCATTCAACATCATCATTTTGCATCGCCGCCATCACACCGTCACCATCAATATCATCATCCCATCATAGCCATCGGGCATCACACCCACATCCAAAGTGGGGTTTGGTTTTCTCTGCGCACCCCCGGCGCAGGATCTCCTATTACTCCTCCCACCTCTCCCTTTCTCACTAACATCCTCACCGGCACTCACTCGCTCGCTCGCTCGCTCACTCACTCACTCACGCACTTGCCCACTCACCACTATCATTCATCATTTACGTAGCACCCCGCAATTGCGGATAAGAGCGAGGGGGCGGGCGCCGATTGCTGTTGTAGAGTCAACGTGGGCCGGATCGGGGGAATGGCACGAGGGCGCTTTCCCAAACCAATGCGAGCAAGCCCGCCGCAGGCGCCGATTTGCGTGCTCTGACAAGTTCAGCGCGGGGGGAATCGCTGGTGGACCACCCGGAACAAGTGCAAAAACAGCCCGCCGCAGGCGCCGAATTTTTGGCTTGTTCAGTGAACGTAGTTTGGGCCGCGAGTGGGTCGCGGGCTCTCCACCTCCACCTGGAAGGAATTCAAAAACAGCCCGCCGCAGACGCCGAAACTTTTGATTTGTACACTGGACGCGGTTCGGGTCGCAGGTTCTCCACCTGGAACGAATGCAACAGAAACCCGCCGCAGGCGAGAAATTTTTGGCCTGTTTAGTGAACGTAGTTTGGGTCGCGGGTGGGTCGCGGGCTCTCCACCTCCACCTGGAAGGAATTCAAAAACAGCCCGCCGCAGGTGCCGAAAATTTTGATTTGTACACTGAACGCGGTTTGGGTTGCGGGTAGGTCGCAGGTTCTCCACTTGGAACGAATGCAACAGAAACCCGCCGCAGGCGAGAAAATTTTGGGTGGGTCGCGGGTGGGTCGCGGGCGGGTCGCGGGTGGGTCTCAGGGTGGGTCGCCGGTTGGTCGCGGGTGGGTCGCCGATGCAAAAGAAACCCGCCGCAGGCGCCGAAGTTTTGGTTTGTTCAGTGAACGTAGTTTGGCAGGCGACGAAAATTTTGATTTGTATACTGAACGCCGTTTGGGTCGCGGGTGGGTCGCAGGTTCTCCACCTGGAACGAATGCAAAAGAAACCCGCCGCAAGCGCCGAAAATTTTGGGTGGGTCGCGGGGTGGGTCGCGGGTGGTCGCGGGTGGGTCGCGGGTGGGTCGCGGTGGGCGGGTGGTCGCGGGTGGGTCGCGGGTGGGTCGCGGGTGGGTCGCGGGGTGGGTCGCGGGTGGGTCGCGGGTTGGTCGCCGGTTGGTCGCGGGTTGGTCGCCGAGGGGGTCTCGGGGTGGGTCGCGGGGTGGGTCGCGGGAGGGTCGCGGGTGGGTCGCGGGTGGGTCGCGGGTGGGTCGCGGGGTGGGTCGCGGGTGGGTCGCGGGGTGGGTCGCGGGGTGGGTCGCGGGTGGGTCGCGGGGTGGGTCGCGGGTGGGTCGCGGGGCGGCTCGCGGGTGGGACAACAACAACAACAACAACAACAAGAATCCGCATCGCGGAATTTCACTTCAGCCACGCACCCAGAGACAGTGAATGACCGTTCGGTTCAGCCCCCTCACTCTGATCATGATTACCACACCGCCACCACATCATCACCAGCATGATCGTCATCACGATCACCACCCCATCATGATCATCGATCATTGTTCGTCATCATCATCACCACCACCATTATCATCACTTTCATCACCACCAGTATCGACAAAATTGCACAAATTCCTTCATTCACACACACACACACACACACACACACACACACACACACACACACACACACACACACGCACATTGAGGAGGTCTCGAGCGGGAGCCTCGTCTGTGAGTGAGTCGCGAGGATGGCTCGAGCGGGAGCCCCCTCCCCATAGGTCCCGCACCTTACGTTTGTATTGTTCTATCCCGGCGAGTCATCATCAGATTTGTAATTGTCGTCACTTCTGGGCTCCTCAGGCCTGCATATGGAGGAAGTCCCAGCGGGAGCCTCGTCTGTGAGTGAATTGCGAGGAAAGTTCGAGCGGGAATCACCTCACTCTGGGCCCCGCATTTCACAATTTAAATTGCAGCGGGTCGCCTCCAAAACTGTGGTTGTCATCGTTCTGGGGCTCATCTGGTTTGAATTTGGAGGAAGTCTCAAGCAGGAGCCTCGTCTGTGACTAACTTGCAAGGAAGCGAGGAAGGCTCGAGCGGGAGCCCCCACCCTACGGGTCCCGCAAGTCATTTGTTTCATTTGAGTTGGTCATCCACAAATTTTGAACCGTCGTCATTTTGGGTTTTTCAGATTTCAATATGGAGGAAGTCTCAAGCGGAAGCCTCGTTGGTATGTGAATTGTAAGGAAGTCCCAGGTGGGACCCCTTACTTATGGGTCGTGCATTTTACATGTAATCCGAGTGGACCATCCTCAAGTTTGCAACTGTCGTCACGCTGGGGCTCCACAGGCTTGAACATGGAGGAAGTCTCACGCGGGAGACCCGTCGGTGATTGAATTGCAAGGAAGTCTCAGGCGGGAGCCCCTCCACTTTGGGGCCTGCATTTCACGTGTTCATATTAGGGGTCATCCTAAAACCAGTAGCCGTCCTCACTTTTGGGTTCTTCAGTTTTCAATCTGGAGGAAGTCTCCAGCGATAGCCTCGTCTGTGAGTGATTTGTGAGGAACTCCTAGGCGGGAGCCCCCTCCTTGTGGGTCCCGCAGTATATACTTCATCCCAGGACGTCGTCCTAAAACTTGTAATTGTCGTCACTCCTGCGTTCCCCAGGCTTGAACATGGAGGAAGTCTCGAGCGGGAGCCTCGTCTGTGAGCGGCTTACAAGGAGATCTCGGGTAGGAGCCCTTCTCTATGGAGCCCGCACCTTATACTCAAACTTGCAGCTGTCGTCAATTTTAGGCGCCGCAGGCTTGAATATGGAGGAAGTCTCGGGCGGGAGGCTCGCTTGTGAGTTATTACTACCACTACCTCCACTACCACGATCATTTCCAGGCTTGGCATCAGATCACCGCGTGGACGTGGTGCACAGTAATTTGTAATGGGTAAGGCTTCGATTTCGGGTTCGGTTTCGGCGCCACGCCCACCCTCTCTGAAGAACCCGACTCGGCACAGATAAGAAATTTACTATGTGTCCCCGGGCATTGGGGAGATGGGTGGGAGACAAGCAGAGAAGAATGACGAGGCACAACAGAACTGGCGAGAGCCCCGCCTGTGAGCGGCCTCGGTCCGAGGCCGCCGGCGCGAGGCCGCCAGCGCTGCCTCGCCGGGCCCCGCCGCCGCGGTTCGGCGCCGCCCCCGCCCCCGCGGCCGCTGCTTGCCAGGAGGCCAGCGTCGGCGAGGAGCACGTGCCGGAGCCCTCGACGTCCCGGTCTGCCGACGGGCGGCCGGCGATCACGACGGCGGTGGCGGCGACCACGCCGACCACGACGATCACGACGGCGGCGACCACGGTGGCGAAGGCGGCCGCCGCCGCACGGAGCGGACGATGTGTTTGAAAACCGAGGAGGAGGAGGATCCAGGTTTCTTCAGGGCGAGGCCGACCAGAGAGGAGCATGTTTTTGGGGAGGTTTCGGGCTTTCCTGGGCCTCTGGCCCAGGGCTGGAGCAGATGGACTCGGAGGATCACACCGAATTGCCGATGCATCGGCGATACGCCGCTGTGGAGCCCAGTCTTCTCCGTGCCTCCATCGCCGATGCATCGGAGATGCGGCGCGACCTTCGACGACCAGGTCGGCCGGCATGCAGCCGAAAGGCATTAGCCCAGACCTCCAAAAGATTGTTGTTCCCAGCCATCCCGTGGTTGTAGGGCTTCGTTTTGAAGAGACGGTCCTTCTCCTCCTCCTCCTCCTTCTCCTCCTCCTTCTCGCCCTCCTCTCCTCCCCTTCCGCCCTCCTCCCATCCCTGCTTCTGCCCTCCACATGTTCATCATATCATAGCACCGAGTACAGCGCTTCGTAGCTCCAAGGGGAGCTCCACCGAAGGCCTCAGTGGCTGCGATCACAAAGGCGTCCCGCGCACCCAGCACGGCGCTTCGTGGCCCCATAGGGAGCTCCACCGAAGGCCCCAGTGGATGTGACCACATGCGTCCCGCGCCACCCTGTATTACGCTTCGTGGCCCCAAAGGGAGCGCCAGCGAAGGCCCCAGTGGCTGTGACCACATGCGTCCCGCGCCACCCAGTACGGCGAGTCGTGGCCCCATAGGGAGCTCCAGCGAAGGCCCCACTGGCTGTGATCCCATGCGTCTCCCCCCGCCGCTTTCGGCACACCCTTCACG